CCTTGCCAACCTTATCGCAGCTTCCCTCAGTTACCTGCTGATGGTTTGGTAAAAGTGGCATGAAGGAAGATGGTCTTTGCATATGCTCTGTATGTGACACAGAGCATTTGTCAGCTTTCACCAGGAAAAAAAAATGCTGCTGAAAAGTAGATATATATTTTGAAAGCTACCTTTTCACAAAGAAAACTTTAATTTTAATGATGTATTTTAGAAGATGGGAGAATAGTTAAGCTGTGCTCTCTGAGACTTCGAAAGAAGCACAAAATAAACTTGTGAAAGAGAATGATGACAATTGCGTTATGGTATTATAATTAATAAAATAGTTATTGTAATAAAAACAAGGAGATCAAGAATCTGTGTTCTAAGCAAGAGAAAGCCACCTTTTAAGTGACTCAGGGTATTTCTAGAATAGGAAGTGGACTGTGAAGGATAGCGGGTTACTTGAACAAGAAGAGTTTGAGATGATCTTTGAACTTCTGAAAATACAGGCACAGCTCACTGTGTTATGCTGAGCATTAGAAGATCAGTCCTGGGCAAATTAAAACTGTGAGATAAATAGCTGGGCCAGGGAAGGAAGGACAAATCGGTCATGGGCCTGGAGGAGAAACGGGGACTGCCATTGTGAATGCCATCATATTTATCTGTTATGGCTTCTAGCAGTAGCATACAGCTGGCATATCCTGTTACAGGTGTGCTTGCTTGTTGAAAACAAACAATGACATCGTGTCTAATAACTTTAATCGACTTGTTGTGGCAGAAATATTGTCTTAAAAAGTAAATGGATTTTGTGTTCCTGAAGTGCTCAGCTTTTGAAGGAAAAGCAGCATAATGAAAGTTAAATTTAGATGCCTGGTATTTTAAACACAGCAGTAACAATGACTTTGTTCACCAGTGAGATACTATAAATAGGAAGGTTTATGCAAGCCTCTTCCAATTTTAGATTTTACCATGAACTCTAAAAACTTCACCTTTGAAACATGATTTGAGTAAGCAATTTCCATGGTGCTATTATGAAGATTATTCTGGTGATCCACATACATTGGCTTTGTGTTTTCCCTTGGGTGGTTTTCTTACTCCTTCTCTGTACTACTCTTTTTCTAGATAGCAGTGAAAGCTCAGAATTTAGTGAGGAGCTGCCATCAGGGCTTGAAAGGTGAGTTAGTCTTCATGTACACTCAACTGAGCACTCTACAGACTTAGCTAAGAAATTAACGAATGATCCCTGATGTAGGTAAGCCATAAATCAACAGTTACTATTGATTAGTTAGGGAAAAATGGCAAACTTTCTGAAATAAACCACTGTAAAGTTATTGTGTTTTTTCTTCCCATGGACCTGAAAAGCTTGGGAACTCTCTCTGTCATGTTTACCAAACCCTAACTGCTGAAGTCTCAGACTAGAATTTCCCTCATCAGGTATTTGCATTCACAAACAGGGGTCGTTTATATGCCACGCTGGGGCCTAACTGGAGGGTACCGATCCGGAATTCTCCTAGGAGTCGAAGCTGTGTCTACAGGTACAGTTCAGGGTCTACCTTGCTCAGTCTATGGTGCTAAACTTTCATTTGGGTCTCTGCGCTTTCCTAGCGTCACGTATTCTGTGTCCAAGAGTGTCTTTGTCCGACCTTACCAGCCCATGGGAGTCTTACCCTCCTGCTCGTAAAGTTCCTGTTAATGCCAAAGCAGGGGTATGGCCCGTTCAGGTGAAATTCAGTCTAGCTACTGATTTAACCAGTTATTTCTGGCTTCCATATTGCAGAAAACTCTTGTTTACTTTGGGGACTATGACATTGCAGAAGCAGGTTTGTCACGAAGGCCACTGTTGCTTTCTGTGGCAGGTAATGATGTCAGAAGGACAGTTCCTGACCCCTTCTCACAGTTTATTTCCTGATTTGAAGGACAGCTACCTGTAACATCTGGTTGTGTCAGAGAGCTCTGGTATGAAGAGTTGATTTTGTACAGCAGAGAGGTGTTGCCCTGTGCCCCGGGTAGGAGAGGGAGCACCTGAGAGCACACCCAGTGCTGCTGATAGTCACTGGGATGCGGGCTTTTCAGAAACTGGTAATACAGTGACAGCCCGAAGAGAGGTGCTGTGGAAAACTGTGTATCGTTAGAGGGATAAAAATCATTCGTTGCATCTTTACCTGTCCCGGACGTGATAAATTCTGTGGTAGTGGGAAGTGAAGAAGTATATCTGAACAGTAAATAAGACAGAGTGCTGAAACAGAATTCTGCAAATACTGAGATTTCATTGGAGTTTAAATCCAGTCAGTTTTTATTATGTATAAATTAGTTTGCTTCAACCATTGTAGAAATGTTTATATAATGTGCAAGTGTAAGTATAGCCATTTTACTTGAGCTAGTGATATCTGCAGCACAAGTTAGAAGAAGTTAGGAATGAAACTGAATAAATTTTGGAACAATATTTTGGCTACTATACCTGCTTCTGGAAAGTACTCTTTTAATGTGTCCATCGTAGTTTTGTTTCAGAAATTAATACAAGCTAGAAATATAAGTAGGTCAAAATGTGAAAAGCCTGTTAAATCCACAAAGAATTATTTCCTAAACTACATTCCTTATGTTTATCCACTGTCAAGTCATTCTAATGGTTGCATTCATTCTTTTCTGGAATCTTCTACTGCTTCTATCAGAAAACTAGAATTGGCAAGAATACACATTAGCACAGACAAGGCAATTCCATTCAGTCCAAGAAAATGCACCTGCCAGTTGGAAGTGCTGTTAGTGCATAGGTGGTGTTGCTGTGTGTGTCCCCTTCACTAGCGTGCATTTATGGGACACAGTCTGTTCATAGACAGAATTATGTTCCTTCTGCTGATCATGTAGATCATACGCATGTCCTTCTCGTGGTATCCACTATTAGACATGATTTAGTTAGCTCTGGTAAACTTTATTGGCCCTTATATTTATGAGAATATCAGGGCTGTGATCACATGCCAATGAAGAGAGGTTAACAGCACATGATTCCAACAGATCATCACCTACCCGTCAGTCTTTGGTTGCTATGTTCTTAATGGCCGTTTACATTTCTAACTTAGCCTGTACTTGGGCTCTTTCAGTTGTAGCACTTTTTCACTGTTGTGCATGGGAAGCTCTAAATTTGTCCTGGGAAAGGAAAAAATATTTTAATCACTGTACAATAAATTATTTGGCACTGTTTTGTAGTTTTCCCAACTTTTTTCCAATTTGTCAAGATAATTTCCTACATTTTAAGATAAAATTACATTTGTGGGAGGTCTTATTGCCAAAATTTTAAGCCATAAGTTTCCAGAAATCCAGATAATTTCTGTAACTTCCCAGGATAAAACAGAAAATCTTGCCCTTGACTTTGAGCCTTAATAGTTATTCTGTTTTGTTTTATTTTTTCATGTCTAAGTCCCCAGAACAGAACCTTTTGTTGATTTGCTGTTTTTTCAAAGATCCTGGTTCCTATTTGATATCTAGGTCTGGAAAATACATATTGAAGTGTCAGATGATACAGTATATGTAAGGCAATGGAGGAAAAACAGATGTAGAGCTAAATTATGCTGCTTGCTTCTTGTCTTTATTTGTCTGCTCAAATACATACAGCAACGTTTTGTCTCTCCAGCCCAACAGGGGCCTGCAGCTGCACATTGGGGAGTTCCACAGGAGTCATCACCATGGAAGGGCCATTAAGAAGGAAAACATTGCTCAAAGAAGGCAAGAAACCTACTGTAAGTGATTACCATTCTTCCTGTGATGCTAATTCAGTAGTGGCTGTTTTAATTTCCAGGATTAGGTTAAACCTGAAGCTTGATACCACACAAAACAATGTTCCTTGTTATTACCAATTGTAAAATCATTTTCTCTTCGAAGTTTTAACTGGGTTAGAACAAGGTTGTAACCTTTGTATATCATTTGACCTAGAGCAGTTTTGCTTCTCCCTGCATTTGCAAATAATGTCTCTAGGTTGTGACAGCAGAGCAAGGTAAAGCAGCTCTGTATATGCCTTTCTGTGAGGGCAGAAATTTTGTGCCGTGGTGAAATGGGAAGGCTGCAAAGTCATAGTAATTCATAATTAACCTAAATCCACACGTTTCACATGGTTCTGGTCCTACACATTTGGTAATTTTTTGTTTTCTGTAGAGTTCATTGATATTTTTTATGTGCAACCCTGCTGTTCAGTCCTAAAAGATTTGAAGAATTGCAGAGATGTCATCTCAGTAGAATTTTTTGATCAAATGCTAAGTCTAAGCTCTGTCCAGTAGAAGGCAGCACACTGTTTTGCTGTGAAGCAACCAGTCCTGATATTTTTACAAGATACCCAAATAAAATGGATTGTATTCACAGCCAGCCATCCAAATTCAGGTAGCTGGGCTGATTTACACCAGGAGACACTCTTTATCTAACTCTTCATTCCTTGCTTCTGAAATTAACTTTGGTAGCACTTGCACTTGTTTGTGAATAGATTTTTGAAATGTCAGGGATGTGCAGAGTTTTTCCTAATTTTTTTCCTTTCTGATTCAGCTCTCCTCATGGACTAGATACTGGGTTATGCTTTCAGGATCAACTCTTCTGTACTTTGGAGCAAAATCTTTAAGAGGCACTGAAAGAAAACATGTAAGCTTTAAGTTTGTTCTAAAAACAAAAATTGCGTATTCATAAGCAGATCTGGAAGGGTGTTTGAAGTGTACTTGCTGTTCCAGGATAAGCCGTACGTCTGCACAAGTTTTACAGTCGGAAGTTCATCCCTTGTACAGCCTCATCTGTGACTGACTTGTCTGTCTCTTCCAGTATAAATCTACACCTGGTAAAAAAGCCTCCATTGTGGGCTGGATGGTGGCACTGCCTGATGACCCTGAGCATCCTGATATTTTCCACCTAAATAACCCTGACAAAGGTAGATGTTGCAAGATGGACATTGCCTGCATTATATTTCTGTGACAGGAAGTAGGTTAATCTCCCTTAATGAGTTTGTAGATTACAGAACTTGCAGCGGCACTCATTTGAAAAACTGAAGAAGGGAGATTTTCAATATAGAATTTTCAAAGGAGGGTACAAATGAAATTGGATATATTTCTACAATATGCTGTGGTGTTTCTGTGGTGCCTACAGAGGTATTGCTGTATCTTGACAGTTACTGTAGGTTTTGCAGAAATTGCCCAGCCAATATCAGATTGCTGCATGCTCATGTGCCCCCATACTCTGATCTCCAAGTTTCTGAATAGTTTTATTAAAATCAGTCAATGTCAAATCTTGACTTACACTGAGGCCAATTAAAATATTTTGAAAATTCTTCAAACATCAAACCGTTTACCAAAAAAGCCATTTAAGTAATTATTAATTACTTGTGAATAATTAGTTTTGAAGTGCCATAACTCTTACACCTTGATTAAACTTAAAAAATTATGAAAGATCAGAAGGCCCCTGGACTTATTTTGTACTTTGAGTAGTTACGTAAAGATTTTTGAGTCGTCCTTCACTTTTCACATTTTTTACTTTCGTGCTGGACATGGACTTGCGTGTACTGTGTGAAGTGCATCTCTTCAGTGTTGACTAAAATGGACAAAGTATTTGGCTGCAAGAAACAATTAACAAAATAACGAGGCATAGAGGAAATTCGCAACAGGACATTGAATCCTAAATTCACAAATATCAGAAACATCCACAAGAAGTTTGGCAGTAACCACAACAGTCTTAATGAGAAGAAAGCCAGGAGTAAATTAGATGGGACCTACGTGTTCTTTTCTCTGGCTGTAATTTGGCCTCTCTGCCTGTACACTCCTCTTAGCTTTGCAGGAGACATACGTTCTCATCCTGCCTTCACCCAAGGGCTGTTGGATAACGTGCCTCACGTGGTTCCTATTTTCTGAGCAACATCCTGTTTGAGCATTTGAGGTGCAAATTAATTAATTAGTTTACTTCAGCACTTTGGCTTCTGCAGAGAAATTAGGATCCCTTGAAACTACGTGTCTGTCTGCAAATTTACAGCCTTTGATTTTGTTATTTTTGTAGGCAATGTTTACAAGTTCCAGACTGGTTCAAGGTTTCATGCAATATTATGGCATAAGCATTTGGATGATGCATGCAAAAGCAACAAGCCTCAGGTAAGGTTGTGAAACTTATTTCTACACACTCTTTTGTGTTTTCCGGAAAATCCTTACTAGAAAAGATACCTCTTTTCAATCTGTGTGCACACAGTCCTCTGGGGACCGACACAACTCCTCATTTTGTACATTGGTCCAATTTTTCAATAGGAGCAATAAGAATTATTTAAAACTACAGAATTCCCACCAGATCAGGATTTGTGCAGGTCCAGCTATGGGTTTGGTTACCTTAACAGCGTATAACCTCTACACGCACTGCTTCAAGCGCGGTACCCCATCTGTACTTCAGAAGGGGCTTTCTCATGGACAAAGCAAGCAAATACGCCAGGCCAGCGTTTACTCGAGTGGCTGGGTCTGTAAATGCCATTGAAGAGAGTGTCCTGTAAAATGCTGTTTGTCCTTTACATAGCAGCCTCATTCTTCTCTTGAGGAAAATGTTAATTCTTAAAAGGATTTCTAAAGGTTATAATAATAGGATGCTCATCCATATAGGACCTAAAACAGGATGCAGCTCGAGAATCTTTACACACACACATCCCCCCGTGCATACTGATGACTTCGTAGAATACTTTGGCTGGCTTTGGTCTGTGAATAGAAAAATCATTTGAGTCTTTATTGTTCCTTTCAGTTATGGGGTGGGCCTTCTTTTGGGCCTGTTTGGAACTGATTATGCTTCTCACATTGGATAACAAATGATTAACCCACTCTATTTTGTAACCTTGGGGTTTCCCAGTGCCGTAATTGGCTCAGGAGCATTCTTCCGATGAACAATTTACATTCTCTTCCAGGTACCTGCTAATCTAATGTCATTCGAATAATTTGCTCTCCTGCCTGGTGCGACTTCAAGTGCCAAACTGCAGAAACCGGCTGTTGTTCTCTAAGGAGGAAGAGGAGAAGGGTTTTCCTGACATGAGCCAGCCACAAATATTTCAGCACTTTCCTATGTGACTTGAAAGTGATTCTGACACAGCTTTTAAAAGCGGGAAGTGAATGTTGTTGTTAGGACCAGATATAGTCTCACGCACTGAATGAAAGCAGACAAGTCAGATGGACAGAAGATTCATCCTGCCTCCTGCAGGATTCTAGAGCCCTCGGCTTTTTGTGGTCAGAGACTGCCATGAACTGATGTTTGACCACAAACTGAGCATCGTATCTTCTGCCTATTCTTTTTTAAATGGTTCTTTTTATTTTTAAGCTGCTTTGTGTGACTGAAGAATATTTGGCCCATGTTGGGTTTCAATTCTTTCTAATGCACAGAATGATTGACAGTGTTAACTTGCTGCAAAGTGTCAATTAGAATAGAAAATTGTGGAACAACGTTTTTATAATCTAAGTGCACTGAGTTGCTTGGCAATGTGGCTGCCTCAGATTTTATATCAAATCTCTGGACAATTCTGCTGTTCACATTTGAGCTATTTGGGAAAAATGTATTTTGGCACAGGACAGCTGGTGTTCTTTTCATTCAGTTATGTTACTCAGGAATGCACTGACAGTGGATTTAAGGCTGTTTAAATTTACGTTGTACTAAAGGTTGTCTTTCATTCCCTTACTAGTGGCATAGTTGCTTACAAGTTTGGTTTTTTTCTTCAGCCTGAATGTTCATCTTGAATCCCGTGGAACAGGAGAGCAGGTAATCGGGTGTTCTACAGAGTGATTCCGTGTCATTGTTTCTGTGCTTCCTGTGGATGACTCACTCGAGTCCAGTACATGATGCACCTTTATGACATAGCGTACTGGCACATGGTACTGCTGTCATGAAATCATGGTGGCAATGAAAGCTAGGCAAGACTGGCTGACAGTGGAGCAAGTACAAAGAAGCCTCCACACCAGAGAACAGAAAAAAAAATGTAAAGAATATGACTGAGCCTTCTCCTCTGAAAGAACTCTGTCTGCATCCCTAGCTGTATCCCTGCTGTGCCCTAGCACTACTCTGATCAGAGGTTTTTCTGTTCCCATGCTAAATTCAGCACTTTCTCTGTTTTAAACTCTTTTGCCATAAGGCATCAGTATTCAGACTTCATCAATCACTGGAAAACTTCTTCTGAGTTTCTGCTTGCATAGGGGAGAAATTTTCAAGCCAACCTCTAGCTTACAAACCATGAAAAAAAATGGAAGTCCGTTTAATTGAACAGAGCCTATATTAGATCAAGCTCCCTAGCATTAGGAGTATTTATTCTGTGGACTTGCATGATTTTCAAAATTTTTATTTTTAAACTTCTCTAACAACAACAACAAAAATACCTGTATTGTTAAATGGAGGTCAGCTGTAACTTTTGTGTTATTTTAAGTGTCATGTTACAATCCTGACAATGAAGCTTAACAAATGCCATATTTTCACAAGAAAACCAGTTCCTGACAACAACTGCATTCAGACCCCGGGACATGTGAAAGTGTACGTAAAGTTGACAAAGGTGCTTTGATAGCTCAGGAGTTGTGTGAAAAGAGTGGTAATGCAAAATATATTTATACCTTTCTTTCCTCCTTTTTTTGATAAATTAAGGCAACTTTGAACTAAGAAAAACATCAGTGTCGGCGAGGGCAGAGCATCCAGTGCCATCAGAGACAGTGTAGAAGCTTCTGACTGTAGTAAAGTCCTGTCACCAGTAAATTACTTCAGACTGTCAGAATATGATATCATCTGAATTATTCTGCACCTATGGACTTTTATGATTAGTTATCAGTGAAATTATTCTTAAGGATGCAAGTGTTACTTGAACTGGCATTTTAAGGAACGTGCCACCTATGACCACGTCCACTGTGTGTTACCAGCATTCGTACGGTTCGAACCATGAGCAGAGCAGTGACCAAAAAGCTGACACACTAACCAAAACATAACAGTTCAAGTCAAGAGGTTTTTTTTAAAGTTACTTTATTAGTAGCCCTTTCCCCTTAAAAGGGAATAACCTGATCTATCTTAAATATAAGCTAAATATAAAATGGAACACTTATCGGCATGAAATGTGCTTACAGGAGAAGGATGTAAATACCTGTTTGTTTCTAGTGGGATGTAGTGGAAGTGACCACTAATGAGGACTCGTGATATTTTTTCCAGCATATTGCAACTGAGGTAAACTACTGGATGCTGTAACCTTCTGTTTAACAAGCCTCCCTTGGAAAGAACAGTAACTGCTGACTGATACAGGAGCAACAGAATGAATCACAGAATCACAGAATCACAG